GATCTTACAAAGCTTCAAACGACGCGTCGACTATTAAATCAGTCGTCGACGATTTTGATAGTCGACGTAATCGTGACTAGTCGACTAATCGTGGCAGCCCTAGTTAGAATAAGTAATAATAATTTATGGATTCTTATTTCTAAAACTGTAACATTTTCCCTTTTCCTAATCTGCGACTGAAACCTGACTCATCTGGGCCTCCTGGTGGCTCTGTGGTCCCACCATGAACATGCTGCATCATGACTTGCAGATCATGACCTTTGCAGTATGCTCAGTATTCACCCAAAGGTCCTGACATGCATGACAATTACAACAATTAATTAAACAAAGAAAAAGAGGCCCGGGCCAGCACGCCACATTTGTGATACATGACTACTTCTATTCTCTTGGCGTTCGGAGCTATTCCGAGCTGTCATATGATCCCCTCAATGAGTCTATTGTTGTGACTGCACGCACTCCCTCTTTTCAAAATAGCCCTTCATGCTGCCACTCAGCACAACTAGTCAGACAACTCTACTAATCAAAAACCGCTCCTCCCTCGTCTTCACAGTTCATAAACATCACTCCACAGTGATGATGAAGTAGGTATGCTACCTGACATCCAAAATAGTCTGGAAACACAGATTGTAAAACTTTTATGGTTGTAGGGGAAATATTTATGAACTACATGTCATCTTAAAAATCCAAAGCATTGCATAAGACATTACATTATTCAACGAGTACAAAAAAGAGTGTTATTCCCAGCTGAACCCATTAACATGCTGTGGTAAGAAACTAGGCTTGCTGTTGTCTTTGTTGATGATATCGGTCAGATCAGTGAGTATTTGGAAAGTGACACCATTTTGCTAATTATGCCTCCAGTTGCTGCTTGTTTGTGGGTCTCTCTGCATCCAGTTAATAACTGAACAGCATGCTCTATTGGGTTGAGATCTAACTTGGCCATCAAAGAATATCCCATTTCTTTGCCTTAGAGATCTCTCAGGTTCCTTTTACAGTTTGCTTTGGGTCATTATCCACTGGCACCGGGAAGCTCGGTCTAATCAGTTCTGCAGCAGTTGGCTGAATCTGAGCAGAGAGTGCAGCCCTGCACACTCCAAAATCCATCCTGCTGCTCCTATCAGCACTCACGTCATCAATAAAAGCAAATGACATGGTTCCACACACGCATGCAATAATGTGACCTCCACCGTGTTCGACAGATGATGTGGTGTGCTTTAGATCAGGAGCTGTTCCTCTTCTTCTCCACAAGTTAATCTTTGTTTCTTCTTTCCAAAGAATTATTTTGGAAAGAAGAACCGTGTCGTCTAGAGCAGCGGTCCCCAACGTTTTTTGCACCACAGACCGGTTTATGTCCGACAATATTTTCACGGACCGGCCTTTAAGGTGTCGTGGATAAATACTAGGGCTGCTCA